GATTTTTTTTTAACTTAGCATAATGCCCTCAAGTTTCATCCAAATTGTGGAAACAGCAGAATATCCTTTCTTCTCATGGCTGAATAATATTGACTTGTATATATAATCATATCTTCTTTATGTATTCATCTATTGACACTTAGGTAGTTTTCATATCTTGACTATTGTGAATAATGCTGCACTGAACTTAGGGCTGCCAGAATCTCTTTTTGGAAAGGAGATCTATTTTCATTTACTTTGGATATAGACCCAGATGTGGGATTGCTGGATCATGTGGTAGTTCTATTTTTAATTTTTGAGGAACCACCATGATGTTTTTTATAGTGGCTGCAGCAGTTTACATTCCCACCAGCAGTGCACAGGAGTTCTCTTTTCTCCACAGGCAGGACAACACTTGTTATTTCTTGCCTTTTTGATAATAGCCATTCTAGCAGGTGTGAGGTGATATCCTCCTGCGGTCTCAATTTACATTTCCCAGACAATGTCGAATACCTTGTCAAGTACCTGTTAGGCATTTATATGTCTTCTTTAGGAAAATGTTTATTTAGATTCCTCATCATTTTTAAATCAGATTGTTTTTATTATATAGTGTATGAGTTCCTTACATATTTTAGATATTAACTCCTTTTCGGATACTTTGCAAATATTTTCTCTCATTCCATAAGTTGCCTTTTCATGTGGCTGGTAATGTGGTTTCTTTTGCTGTGCAGGAGCTTTTTTTAAAGTTGAACAAGTAAAGGTTTTGCATTTATTTAAAATTTGTTTTTAATTGTAATTGACATATAAGTAACATTATATTAGTTTCATATGTACAACATAATGATTCAACATTTATATACCTTACAAAATGATCGCTACAACAAGTTTAGTAACCACCTGTCACCATATATAGTTATTATGATATTATTGACCCTGTTTCCTATGCTGTGCATTATATTCCTGTGACTTATTTTGTAACTGGAGTCTTGTACTTCTTAATCCCCTTCCCTTTTTCCAGCCATCCCTCTAATCCCCTTCCCTCTGACAAACATTAGTTTGCTCTGTATCTATGAGTTTGTTTCTGTTTTGTTTGTTTGTTTGTTTTGCTTTTGAGATTCCATGTATAAGTGAAATCATACACTGTCTATCTTTCTCGGTCTGACTTATTTCACTTAGCACAATAACTTCTAGGTCCATCAATGATTTGCCCTTTAATTGGATTCCTTCCTCTTAAGTTTTTGTGTATTTTTATTCAGTTTTGGTTTATGGCTACCATAAGATTCATATACACCCATCTATATCTATAACAGTCTACTAAAAGCTAATAGGCATATAAGTTCATTCTCATTCGAAAAGCACTGAATTTTTTCTCCCCCTCCACTCTTTATGTTTTTGATGTCATGCTTTATATTTTTTTATTTTTATGTATCCCATGATTACTCATTGTAGTTAAAGCTAATTTTGCTACTATTGTCTTTTAACCTTTATATTAGTTTCTTAAGTTGTTAATTCACTGTGATTATTATATACTAGAGGCCTGGTGCATAAAATTTATGCATCGGGGAAAAGGGGTCTCTCAGCCTGGCTTGCACCCTCTCACAATCTGGACCCCTTGGAAGATGTCTGACTGCTGGTTTAGGCCCTATCATCCCTGTGGGATGAGGCCTAAGCTGGCAGTTGGACATTCCCCTCGTAATCCAGGACTGCTGGTCCTAACCACTTACCTGCCTGCCTACTTGCCTGACCACCCCTAACCACTCACCTGCCTGCCTTATTGACCCTAACTACTTTCCCTATCTGTCTGGTCATCCCTAACTGCTCACCTGCCTGCCTGATCACCTCTATCCACCTCTGCCTTGGCCCCTGCCACCATAGCTTTGTCTGGAAGGACGTCTGGAATGACATCTGGGAGATCCTTTGGCTATCCAGTCTAATTAGCATACTATGCTTTTATCATTATAGATTTGCATTTATCAGTGAGATTTTTTCCCCTTTTCCTATATATATATATGACTGGTTATGACCCTTTTTTTTCTGGATAAAGAAGATCATTTAACATTTCTTATAAAGCCAGCATAGTGATTGGAAACTCCTTTAGTTTTTACTTGTCCAGGACACTTTTTCCTTCAATTTTGAATGATAAGCTTGCTGCATAAAATATTCTAGGTTATAGATTCCTTTCTTTCAGCACTATAAATCATTACTCCCTTTTGGCCTGTAAAGTCGTTTCTGATAAATCAGCTGATACCCTTAAGAGGTTTCCCATGTATGTGACTTGATGTATCATTCTTGCTTCCTTTAAGATGGTCTCTTTATCCTTAATATTTGCCATTTTAATCACAATATGCCTTGGTGTGGGTCTCTTTGGGTTCATCTTCTTTGGAACTTTCTGTGCTTCTTGGACCAGGATATTTGTTCCCTTTCCCAGATTAGGAAAGTTTTCAAAGATTATTTGTTCAACTATTCTTTCTGCCCCTTTCTCTTTCTCTTTTCTTCCTGAAATCCCTATAATGTGAAATGTTAGGGCATGTGACCTTATCCCAGTGATCTCTTATACTATCCTCATTTTTTTTTTAATTCTCTTTTTATTTTCCTGTTCTGATTGGGTGATCCCCACTATTCTGTCTTCAAGGTCACTAATCAATTCTCCCATATTAACTAATCTGCTATTGATTCCTTTTAATATATTCTCCATTTTAGATATTGTTTTCTTTTGATTGGTTCTTTATTACATTTTTTATCTCTTTGTATTCTTCTATATACTCTCAAGTTTGTTGTTTTTTTTTTAACATACTTATGACCATTTCTTTCAATTCTTTATTACTTATCTCCTTTACATTGGGGTTTTTCTCTGAACTTTTTTCTTGTTTCTTCATTTGGGGCCTATTCTTCTGCCTCCCCATTGTTTGAATTTCTATGATGTGGCAAGAATAGCTGTCTCTCCCAGTCCTGAAAAAGTGGTCTCCGTGTAGGCTCTGATTTGGACTGTTTGGGCAATCTGGCTGGTTGTAATGGGTGCTTGAGGTGCCTAATATGACCTTTGGTCTGAAGAAATGGACTCCAGGTGGGGCAACCTAGAGTGTTTTTGCTTCCTTGCCTTTCTAATCTGGGTGGGGCTGCCTGATGTAGAGGGGGCTGCTTGGTGTGCTCTTAGCATGCCCCATGGCTTTAACTGTCTGTGATCAGGGCAGGGTCTGGGCAGGGCTACTTTTTAGCTCTCTGTTCCTCCAGCTTTGCCCTTTCTGGGTGGGACATGTTTGTTCTGTGTGCATGGCTGCACTTCACTAGTTCTGTTCCCTCTCTAGGTTGTACAGCTCCTCACATACTCAGTCATGCCCCTCATTCCACATGGTCATCCCTGCCTGTGTGCCCTGTTGCTTTAATTATCCACAGTCAGAGCAGGGTCAGGGTGCACTACTGCATGCCTGCTTCTTAGTGCCCTACTTGCTCTGCCCATTCTCCCCAAGGCCAGCCTTGTTTGTGCACAGCAACACCTCACTTACTCCACAGAGGGCACCCCTGAGTGTGGGTACCACAAAGTTTTGCTAGCTCCACATTTTCTTTGGGCAGGAGAGCTCCACATGGGCATGCAGCAGTGCCCACTACCTCAGCACTTTCTCTAGATGAGGAAGCCGTACAGGTGCGCACCACAGCATTGTGTCAGCACTTCACTTTTTTCAGGTGGGGGAGCCCCTTGTGTGTGCATCCCAGTGTGTGCTATGGTGCCCTCCTGTTTCTGCTTGCTCTGGTTGCAAGAGGGGTGCTTGGGGACATGCCACAGTGCTCAGCAAATCAGCCAGAGAAGCTGGATGGACTCCCGCCCACTATCCACATTCAGAAAAAATGTAAACAATGGCGCTCACCAGTTCCTCTTGTTCTGGGTTGTTCCCTCAGCTCCCTGAGAGCTCTCATGGTTTCCTGACCTTCTCTATGCAGTCCCACTCTCTAGCTTGTTGTGCAAAAGCTGTTTGATTGGCTCCTAGTTGTCTCTCAGGAAGAACTGCTCAAAATATAGGCATAAGTTTAATATGGTTTTGGGAGGGGATGAACTCAGCACCCACCTGAACCACCATCTTGGACCCACCTCCCATGCTGTTCTTAGATGTAGTTCCACTTGTATGTTTTTCCCTTTTGTTCCTTGTGTTTTCCTTGTCAGAAAACCACTAACAAGACAATGTTAAGGAACCTTTTTTTGGTTTGTTTTATTCTAGTAATTTTATAGGTTTGAGGGGATTAATTAATTATGTCTTTAATCTATTTTGCATTAATTTTTGTGAGTGATTAAGATAGAGATCCAATTTTATTCTTCTGCATGTGAATATTCAGTTTTTACAAAATCACTTATTGAAGAGACCATCTTTTACCCAGTGAGTGAACCTGGCTCCCTTTTCAAATATTAGCTGACCATATATGCATGGGTTTACTCTGGTCCCTGGGTGTGGTTCCATTGGGTTGCGTGTCTGTTTTAATGCCAGCACTAGACTTTTGGCCACTATAGCTTTGTAAAGCAGGGCGTATCAGACCACCCGAGGCACCTAGTGTGGAACAACCATCTCTAAAACAAACAAACAAACAAAATCAACCAACAAACAAACTGCCCGGCTTGCAGCAGTTGCCAGTTTCCATGCTGTAATTGCTCCCACATTGGCTGATATCTAGCTTCCAATAACATGTCACTGAATGTGGAGTTGGGGAGAGTCATGGGGTAATAGCCCATATATATCATCTCCACAATACAAACAATACATGTAAATAACCCCAAAAGTACACATCATAGTAAAATGTGACAAAATAATAAAAAAGCAATGAATGTTGAATATGTATTAACTTTTGTTTAACATGTTTATTTAACTGTAATTCATATTAATTTTTAGAAATGGCTGTGTTTAACAACTGCCTCAAAAAATTCCTGCAAACTTAGCATTCAGCTCTCACCTGCCCACCAACGGGCCTGAGTGTAAAGTCCCATGATCTTTGGATGGAACAAGTGCTCACTCTTCCTCTCCCTCTGTTTCTTCCAGATCAGCAAACAGCAGCTGCAGACCGTCAAGGACCGCTTCCAGGCTTTCCTCAACGGGGAAACCCAGATCGTGGCTGACGAGGCCTTCATGAATGCTGTCCAGAGCTACTATGAGGTAAGACACCATAAGGAAGGGTGGCGGGACCGCTCAGGCCTGCAGCCCAGGCTCAGAGGGCACAGCAGCCTTGGCCTCCCATAGAACTACTCCTCCTGAGGCAAAGCAGTGGGTGATTGGTTACAATTTTAAGGAATAATTGTATTTTATTTTGGGGGAAACTATAAGAAGCAACTGTTTACCAACTGATTTTTATACCAGGCCCTGTGCTGAGTGTTTTACATGCAATTTCTTGCTTCATCCTTATAGCAGTCTTCAGAGTTAGGTCCTGATATTATTTCCATTTTACTGATGAAGAGACCGAGGCTCAGAGAGGCTATGCCAATTACTCAAGGTCACACTCTTAGATACCACAGCTATAACTTGAAGCGAGTCAGGAGCCTTTTCCCTCCACTTACAACCTTTCTGAAGGATGTTAACATCTCCTAAGAACAGTGCATTCACTATCTTTCTCTCCTTGCCATTGAAATGGTGCTGTGAGTTCTTTTTGCAAGTAAGAACACTGTCAAAAATGCACCCCTATTCTCAAGAGAAAATCTAGAAGCAAGAGAATATATATTACAAGTAATTTTTCACTTTTAAACCTCTAAATTCTCTTTATTTAATAGTAAAGAGAATTTAGAATTCCACTAATGCTTTTTTTTCTTTTTAGTATTAAATATTTATTTACTTGTAAATCTAAGAATGGCAGCTGCCAGTGGGTACAGGGGGACAAGTGAGAGATGTTGGTCAAGGGTATAGACTTTCTGTTTTAAGATGAGTAAGTTCTGAGGATCTAGTGTACAGCATGATGACTGAGTTAATGACACTATTGCACACTTGATATTTGCTGAGAGAGTAGATCTTAAATAAAAAGAAAATGTTAACTGAGGTGATAGGTAGGTATGTTAATTAGCTTGATCAAGGTAATTATTTCACTATATATGTACATAAAATAATCACATTGCACACCTAAAAACATGTGTACAATTTAAATATATACAATTTTACTTCAAATTTAGTCATTATTCTCACATAATCTGCGTTGGCTATCATTGGTGCATCATTAATGGCAAGTGGACATGCCATGCCTTCCTATTGGCAATGCTTAACTGACATACACATTTTCAAAAATGACTATTTGGTCATTGAAAGACCTTTTACTTTATATGAATGTATTTTCGTATGATCCAGATATTTTCTGTGTTTGGAATCCTGTGCCTCAAAAGTCTTACCCATTGTCAAGACTAGATTGAAAGCATTAGAAACCATTCCCTAAGCATGGAAAAATGTATGGTATGTTGTCACATGCAATTCAATGTCATAACAATAAACTCTAAAATAGGTGTAAGGAAATCCAACAAACTGAATTTTTCACCATGGATTACTTTCTTTTTAAAATTATTAGGGTGCAGCCGAAACCGGTTTGGCTCAATGGATAGAGCATTGGCTTGGGGACTGAAAGGTCCCGGGTTCGATTCCGGTCAGGGCATGTACCTTGGTTGCAGGCATATCCCCAGTAGGGGGTATGCAAGAGGCAGCTGATCGATGTTTCTAACTCTCTATATCTGTCCCTTCCTTTCTGTACAAAATCAATAAAATATATTTAAAAATTTTTTTTAAATTATTAGGGTGCAAATTATTTCAGATCAGAAACATTGGTGCTCCTCCTTCCATTCCTGCTGGAGCAGGTGACTCCTCCTTTCACGGGGAGTGGAGCAAGACCACTATTAGACCTTGGGAAAATGTTATTGATTAGCTTGCCAATTACTTTTTCATAGTAAACAGCCTTTGTCTTTATGATATTTGCCGAGTCCGGCCACAGACTCATTTTACATGCCATTTCCTCAGTGCAATTTCTATGCAATCTATTTTAGAAGTTTTCATGCTTGTCAAATTTAAGCTTTTCCTTTACATTTTATAAGCTGTATCAATTATTGACAATAAGGGCCAAACTTACTGCTTTGCCTGATGTGATGTAAAGTTTTGGTTGCATTTAATGAAAAGTGGAGATGAGATTTGGAATCATTATGAGGGTGTGGCAGTGAATAACTTGAATACAGTTTACAACATATCTGTCTAGAAATGGCCAGGAAATGAAATGAATCCCTGTCCCCCCACCCTTTCTTCAAGTTCTGAAAGCCAGTTCTGACCAGACCCAGATGGAACCTTATCGATAGTTTATGTTTAAAGTCATTTACCAGTTTATAAATTTTGAGAATGCTCATCTCAATTAGAAAGCTCATTTGACTAATGACATAAATTAAAAGGAAGCGCCATTTCTATCCATTAATTAAATTTGAAAATTAGAAGTCATCAGCATGCTAATGAGTCTCTGTCAATTACCATTATATCTACAGTGACCCTATATTTTCTTCTGTCCTGGCCAGTTTGTTTGAAATCACTTTTTTTTTTTTTTTTTAGTCTGATGAGAATCCAGGCTTTGAGAAATTACTGAATCTTGATTGTTTAAATTTCTTTATTGATTAAGGTATCATATATTTGTCCTCCCCCCTCCACCCCATTCTCATCCCATATCCCTCCCCACACATGCCCCCACCCCTGTGTTTTCCGTGACCACTGGTTAGGCTCATATGCATGTACACAAGTCCTTTGGTTGATCTCTCCCCTTTATCCGCACTTTCCCCTACCTTCCTACTGAATGATTAATGTTGAGATTTGGGTAACAGGAAATAAGGTGGGGTGTTAATTGTTAGCCACAGTCATCAGTAATGCTCAAAGCCTTATGGTCATGTTTCCTGGGATCCTCTGCAGCACAGACCCCCCAGTTAAGGGTCAGGGGAGCACTGCCTGGCAGAGCCTAGGTCTGTTCCCCCTCTCTCCCCCCTTTCCTTTGATCTCGGTGATGGAGAAGCTAAGGTCTCTTCCTCTCCCTGAATCTGAAATGCAATTACTTTTCTGTCAGTGTCTGTCTGAGTCACGAGTCTCTGGATTACAGATGACAGACACCTACTTCAAATTGGCTTCAAAATGAGATTTATCTGCTCAAGCCTTTGAAAGCCCAGGGAGGCCTGGCTCAGCTGTGGCTCCATCCTGAGACGCAAAGGTGCAGCGGGACGAGCATCCTCCTCCACACACTCGGCCTTGCTCTCGTCCCCGGCTTCCTGCTCAGGCAGGCTGGTCCCCTGCAGCCCCAGGGGCACAGAGAGCCTCTTCACTGGGAGTCCCAGCAGAGGGCCGGGTGATTGAATGGAGGGACACGGGTCAGGCATGTCTTTTCTGAAGCCAATCACAGTAGAAGGGGCTAGAACAGAGCGGGACTCAGGCCTACGACACACAGCACCTCTGAGCCCGAGTGCAGGCTCAGTCCCAGCAGAGCCATCGGTATTGAAATACAATGGTTTCCCAGTAAGAAATTAGGGTGACTTTTACCAGGAAAAGGGGGAATGTATGCTAGTCAGAAAAACTTCACATGTATTCTCTTTCTAAACTCTCTCTCAAACACACACACACATTTTCTCACACACACACACTCTCACTCACATACACACTCACACACACACTTTCACTCACACACATACATTCTCACTCAAACAATTTCACTCACACACACACTCTCACTCACACACTTTCACACACACACTCTCACACACTTTCACTCACACACACACTCTCACTCACACACATATACTCACCCGCACACTTTCACACACCTCTCACTCATGCACTCTCACTCACACACTACTCACACTCAGTCACACACACTCAGTCTCACACACACTCACACACACTCATTCACATGCACACTCTGTCACACAAATACACTCTCACTCACATACATGCACATATACTCATTCACATGCACACTTACACACTCAATCACACACTCACTCACACACACTCACATACACAAATATACACTCACACACATTTTCACATACTCATACTCACATACACTTTCACTCACACACACACATACTCTCTTTCTCATACATACCCCACCCACCATGTCACACCTCCAGTCTACCAAGGTAACGTCATTAAGTAAAAAATCTTTACTCAAAGTTCTGAGATTATTGCACTAGGCCAGTGGTCAGCAAACTACAGTTTGGTGCTGTTGACTAATGAGTTTGCCAACCACTGTCATATACTATCCTTTACCTCTTTGCACACAATATGCCACAGTTGCCTAATCCTCACAGCTTCCAAGGACATGGTAACGTTTAGTCTAGCAGTGGTTGGCAAACTCATTAATCAACAGAGCTGCAAACCAGGGCTCATGAGCCGCAGTTTGCCGACCATTGCACTAGGCAAAGGCAAAGTCAGTGTCAAGTGTTAGCCTTGTGGTACTAAAGAATAGTGGCTTGTCACACACCAGAGGAGTAAAGACGGTTCCCACCTGTGCCCACCAGCCCAGTGTGGCCCAGGCTGGCCAGCTGGTGAGGCCTGGGCGTGAGCGGGGCCCGGAGAGAGGGAGGCCAGGCTCTCTGAGGCGCTCCGGAGTGTGTCAGCTTGCTTTATCCTTTCCTGGTGGCCCGGACTGTCAAAGCCGATCACACAGGACAGCGGCTAATCGTTAATCTCTTCCATTAGGGCTCTGAGGGCTGGGCACTCTGAGATCGCCTAGCGGCCCCAGCCTGATCCCACAGCCTCAGCCCGAGGCACCGGAGAGGCCTCATTCCTCCCCGGCCCCCACGTCTTCTCTCACCCTCAGCTCCAGCCTCACCGACACCTCCCACCTCCTTGGTTCTTTCACACGCTGGGCCGGGCCCTTCAGAAAGAGAGGTGGTGGAAGAGTTTTATAAAGCCGTTCTCATTCAGATCCCAGGAAGGAAACGTGGGGTGTGGTGGGAAGTGAGGGTACAGGTCGGTGAAGACACATGCGCACTGGAGCCCCACAGCTGACATCGGGCGTCAGCATGCACTGCTCTGACTTTGGCTTGCTGTCTCTTGTTTTCAGCTGATCTCCTCTAGCAAAGGCCTGGGTAGCATTTATCAAACTGCCTTTGAATGAGTATCACCGGATTCTCCAGTTGCTAGTAACAGAAACGGACTGCGGTTAAATTAAGCCTTAAATATAATAACAACAAGAACAACTGTTTGTTGTTGTTTTGCTATTAAAAGAAATATTCAAGCATAAGAAAAAATGGAACCGGAGCAGACTGACTGTAGAAAGACAGGCCACAGAATATAACGGGCGCCCTGTCACTAGTATGAATCTACTCCTATCCCATTTCATCCGGTGGCACCCCACTCTGAATCTGAACCCCACCATCCACCACAGGTCATCGTCCCAGATGTGCATCTGAAGTTTGCACCAGGATCCCTTAATTTTTGGTGAGGGATATCTTTAAGATCCAAACGTGCATTTTATTTTAGAAATTAACATTCATCTTGCCTTAACAGAGGTAAATTTTGTATTTTTTCATGTAGAAAGACTTGTTTTAAGTAATTAGAAAAATAAAGCATGCCAATTATAAAACTAGACAGTGTAAGAAAAAATCTAAAAGAAAATGGCTAGAAAAATACCTGTAATTCCATCATCCTAAACAATTACTATTAAATTGGGGTATATATCTCTTCAGATATTTTTATATGTCTGTACATTAGAATAGCTATTTGATTTCTGTATTAAGATGTAAAATTACTATGGTATATTAATAATCCACTTGTTTTAGTAGCACAGTAATTTTCAATCTCCTTTTTACTTTTGCGAAAAATCAACATATGACACTCTCATCAGTAAAATATTTTATTACCTATGATCTTGATCCAGGGTCATGCTCCTATCCTCCTAGCCCAGCTCAACCCTATCATTGGAAATCTTCAGGTTAACAACAGATCATGGACATCTTAGATGCCAGTGGAAAAAAATAGCTTATTTCATGGCTGCATGGTAATCTGATAAAAAAATAATAGGTAACTTTAGTTACATTCTTACAGCAGACACCATGCTCACCGGTTGACATTCATTGTCTGGTTGAATTCTTTCCCAAGTCCTACAAGGTGGGTAGCTATGATTCCCATTTGAGAGTTAAGGAAACTGAAGCCCCTAAAGATTAGGCCACTTGCTTAGGAGCAAAGCTAGCAACTGGCAAAGCCAGGATTTGAACTCAAGTCCTCTAACTAGAACCTGCTCCTCTTATGATGCAGCCATTCCCTGGCAGTAAGCAGGGTGTGTGTGTGTGTGTGTGTGTGTGTGTGTGTGTGTGTGTGAAGACCTTATTGACTTTAACACCTAGGTCTTTTTGTTCTTTATTTTGGATGGTGTCCTTTTGTAGAGCAGGAAAGGGGCTGTCTTGGTTTCTCAGCCTGTCAGTAAGGAAGTGGGTGCTGGGCCAGCTTTGCCCCGCACCATGTGCAGTCATTAAAGTACTGGTGTGCTGTGGGTTTCTAAAACAACCTTGAGGTTGCTTGGCTCTGGTGAGGGAGGGAGGGACTGATGGATGAGGGCGAGCCACTGAATTGATTGCCCTTCACCATTCCATATTTATTTGTTCATCTTCTGTCTCCCATTATGACCTATCTGGAAGTTGGCAGGGGAGTAGGGAGGATTTATGAATGTGCTGCATAGAATTGTGCCTGGGGTTGAAGTCCCTTGGAACAGTCCAAAACAAAACAAAACAAAACAAAACAAAACAAAACAAAAACACCAGAGAGCGCTCCCAGTACAAATGAGCATCAGTGTGGTTTTAGAGACACAAGCATGTCGGTGCTCAGAGGCTGTACTCAAGACAGGGCGAGGCTAGCCCGGGTCCCTTCTGATGGACTGAGAAGCCAAGACAGAGGATATGCCTGGAAAATTAGTTTTCTGCCGCCACCCCTCAGCCCCCTGCTGTCTCACATTTCATCTTTACTGTCTCCTCAATCTTCAGCCTCCTTCCTCACACTCTTGACGTTCCACGCATGTCCCCTCCTTCCGGGCCTGGCCATCAGAGCACACCTCTGGACAGATGGAGCCCTCTGCTTTTCAAAGTCCTTTCAGAAAGTTTTATCCCCATCAAAGAAGGCTGGCTGCATGCGCCCCATGTGACAGGGTGGGGTTCATAGAGCTTAAGTGACAAATGTTTGCTGAGTGGCCACAGGAGCAAAAGAAGGGACTGTGTCAAGCAGGTGATGTGTGCAAGATCCAGTCGTCGCCACCAGGTATAGACGCCAGCCGGGGTCATTTCCTTCCACTGTTATCAGCCCCCCTGCTATCTCACTTCAGCCCATTGTTGCAGAGACCAATACATTGTGCTTGCTGGTTTTGCCTTTACCTCTTGCCCCATCCAGACAGGCTCTTAATAGGGTCTTTGCTTTGAGAAGTCTGCTTTGTTCTTACTCATTCACTCATTCAATGTAGTACCAATTGCATGCCAGACACTATCTTAGACACTTGAAGGAGAAAAAAAAAAAATAGGGAAAAGCAGTTACAATTCCTGCCTTCCTCACACTTAGATATTACCCAGGAGTCACAAAGGCAATGACAAGTGTCAGCTATGGAAGGGTTTGTGGGGAAGGAAGATGGTGCTGAGGGCTTATGACTGGCCCAGCTTTATGGAACCCTGGTATGAACAGATGAAGAGGAAAGTGTGACTTCTTTGTTCATTGTTCTCAAGTGCCCTCTCCTGCTCATTAGGGCTGAAAACAGAGTTAACACCGGCCCCTTTGAGTTCAACAACACTTCCTGCCAGTTCTCGTGGCCCCTTGCAGGCCTGTTTTCCTCAGTAAAGACAGAGAATGTGAACTTGATTTTGTTACCTCTTAGCTTAAAACCTTCAACGGCCTCTCAGTGTCCTTCAGATGAAGGCCAACACATCAAATGTGGCCTCCCATGCTGTGGTCACCTGACCCCTTCCTGCGCATCTTACGTCAGTCCTTCTCCCACCCCTCACTGCCACAGCCACCCTGGGTGCTCTGGTCTCAGACACGTGGGGTCTGTACACATATTGTTCCCTATCTCTGAGAGACTGTCTCACCCTCTCCTTACCTAACATCTCTCACATGTCATTTCCAGCAGGCCTTTCCTGACCACACTAGAAAGGATTCCTGGGTTTAGGCTGGACCCCTGTACTTTCCCTGATAACGCTTGTCCCAGCTTGTAGCAGCTCTTTGGGTGGGATTATTAAGATGATGTCATGGAGGCGTGCAGGCTGGTTCTGCATCTGGCACCTGGCACAGTGCTTCCCACCTTCTAAGTGATCAGAGGAAGAATAACAGGTTCATAAAGAAGAATATAGATATCACAGCTGGAAGAATACCACCCCCAAATATTATAGTTCAACTGCCTCCGTGAACAGATTAGAAATTGGAGAGTCAGAGAGGGGAGGTGACTTACCCACTATCACACAGCAAATCAGTGACAGAACTGGCCTGGGACCATGGTTTACAGCTCCTGCCTCCCAACAAAATTTTTCTGTTTGCCTCCACATTTGTAAGTTCTTTGAGATCTAGATCTAAAACTGAGTCACGGTGTGTTCGGTGGAGAAACCATCTGTATCAACATTACAAAGTTTCAGGTGAATTCTTCAGCTCCTTAAGTGTTATAAAGCCTAAGGATTCATTTGAATATTTTTTCTAAAATGGATTTTTAAGTGAACTCTACCATCTCAGCTGAGGACCAGTTCTGAGGTGCAGGCAAGCAGGCCATGGCCTCTGGCCTGTGAAGCCAGACCGCAGCCTCCTTCTTCCTAAGTGAGAGCATGACCCTAAGTGAGAGTCATGGTGAGCGTGGGCCGCCTATCTGACCGCTCTCACCCAGGGAGCCCTTGAGGCAGCAGCGATGGAATGTGCCCCGAGCGATGCCATCTCCTGGCCAACCAGGGCGATTCCTGCACCCAGATGAGGAGCAAACGGTTGTTCTGCCTCTGAAAGGGCGTGTCTGCTCCCCTGAAGGGTGACCACAACACAGCTCACACGTGTCAGGTGTTCCCTCCAGTGGATATGAAGCAGCTGCTTCTCCACCTTGTCTACACCCCAGGGCCATGTGGCTGTGCTGGGCACTGGAGCAAGAGCAAACTGATCTCAAAGAATGAATGTCTTGGTCCCAAGACCCAGGCAGCACCAACAGAACAGCCCAGGGTTCCCACCAGGCAGGGGAGCCCCCAGGGAAGGAAGGAACCACAAGGCCATGCGTTTATAGGCAGGCAGTGTGAGTGGCCAGCGCAAGTCCCCTCCCCTCCCTGGAGTCTCCATTTTCTGTCTGCAAAATGGACTGAATGTAACACCTGCTTGCTAGGTTCACTTCCTCTCAAAGCGCCCGGTAATGTACTGGGGACACATGACACTGGGGGAACAAGAAGGACACAGTCCTTGCCCACGAGGTGTTTACATTTTGGAAAGGGAGACAGACATTAAATACAGATTTGCTTAATACTGGTTCCATTTCAACTGTGATCGGGATCACTGAGAGGCTACTAGTAAAACTAGTTGTAAGCAGAGGTTAACATTTAGTGCTATGTGAGGACATCAGCCCAGTTGTTTTACATATTACTATAATAACCACAACCATAACCTCTTAGGTATTAATATGGGCTATTTTTAAAAGTGCTTATCATACATTAACTCATTTAATCCCCATTTTAAAATACCTGTGATGAAGAGAGAACTATTACCCCCATTTTAGAGATGAGAAAACTGAGGTACAAGAGATTGACTTTCTGAAAGAACCATAGCCACTAAATAGCAAAGAAAGAACCCAGGCAGCCTGGGCTCAGAGTCTATATACCTTATGCTGCCTTCCCGGAATATCACTGCCTCAGAGATCCTTGCTAAGTACTGTTGTTGTTCTCATTTTCCCATTTGGATCCCAAGCCAAACGTGTGACTTCTGAGTTTGCACAGCTAAGAGGCCGTGGGGCTGTGACCACACGGGCCTGCTGTGATGCCTGTGAGCTGGTCTCCAGGACTGACTTTCTGATGTCTTTCCCGGCCCTGCTATCCTCAGGTGTTCCTGAAGAGCGACCGCGTGGCCCGCATGGTGCAGAGCGGGGGCTGCTCCGCCAACGACTCCCGGGAGGTCTTCAAGAAGCACATCGAGAAGAGGGTGCGCAGCCTCCCTGAGATCGACGGCCTCAGCAAGGAGACCGTGCTGAGCTCCTGGATGGCCAAGTTCGACGCCATCTACCGCGGGGAAGAGGACCCCAGGAAGCAGCAGGCCCGGATGACCGCCAGCGCAGCCTCTGAGCTGATTCTGAGTAAAGAGCAGCTCTACGAGATGTTCCAGAACATCCTTGGGATCAAGAAGTTTGAACATCAGCTCTTGTACAACGCTTGCCAGGTAAGCTGCCTATCACCTGGGCGCAGAGTGGTGAGTAAGCAGGGTCACGTGGTGACTTCTGTGTGCTCTAGACACCATGGCCTTCTTGGGCCATTTCTTGATTTATTAAAAAAAAAAAAAAAAAAAAAAAGCCAAACACATTAAAAATTACATTTTACAACTACATTGGTAAGAGTTAAATGTAATTCAGGCTAAAACAGGATGGGATGGTTATCTTCTGGTTTTAAAGGAATTAAAACATGTTGTGAGCCCCTAGGAGTCTGGTGGGCCTTAGGTACTGTGCCTAATGTATCTAAAGGTGAATCAGCCCTATGAGTAAGACCTAGCTCCCATGTGTCAGAAATTCAACAAGATCAAACTAATTGATTTTTTAGAAAAGAGTATTTTGCTTTTAAAGTAGATGGTGTTTCCCTCTTGAGGGGCTTGTACTGCCTCAGCTGATAGACCATTGGCCCTCCGGCCTGGCCATCAGGGGTAATTATTGGAAACGGAAAGCTTCCAGAGGCCTGAGTATGCCATGCCCCTGTGTTACCCTGTTTCCCCAGTGTCTTATATTAATTTTTTCTCCCAAAGTTGCGCTAGGTCTTATTTTCAGGGGAGGTCTTATCTTTCCATGCACTAGGTCTTATTTTCGGAGGATGTCTTATTTTCGGGGAAACACGGTAGTTACATCTGTAATCTCTGAGAGGATCTGAAGGGGCTAGCTGGGGCTCTGCTTAGGCCCAGCTCAAAATGGGCTTCTGTTTTCTCTGGATCAGGGGTTGGGGGTGTGAGGTACTTACCCTAGGTCTTCATTTCCTGCAAACCTTTCCATTATATTCCTGCCTTCATACAAACAATATTTATTGAGTGGCAGCTTTGCAATCTCTGCAGATTTCAGTGATTGGCACTTGGGAGCATTTGTTAAATGCACACGGCCAAGCCCAAGCCCTAGAAATGCTATTTCTGCATTCTCTGGGCAGGGCCTTGGAATCTGCATTCTAAACACAAGTGCTGCCCCCCCCCCCCCCCCCGATTGTTTTTCTGTCCTCCCCTTCTGAGAACCATTAGAGAAACTGAGCTATGCTATGGCCTGGTTCACCTGTGTCAATGCTGCCCCTAAGGTAGGTTGAATGGAGACACTAACGTATTGGCTAAGATTTATGCCTTGCTCAGTATAAGGCAGACCTTGGTAAATCTTAATATGACCCCCTTACTAGCTTATGGCTGCAGGGAGATAGCTAACCTCCCCACATGTGAGCTTGGGATGAAATTACTATAAAGAATCAGTGTGTATAAATCCCAGAGTAGCGTGCGGACTTTGTAAATCGTGGTGGTTAAAATATATTGTAGTCCACTGGAAGAGACAAAAAGTCAACACGGTATCGGAAAGTGCCACAGAGGATTGACATAAGAGCTACAGGATTTGGAGGCTTACTTTTTTTCACCTCCATGGCTACCTCCTAGTTCAAGGCACCAACATCTCTTGCCTGGACAACCACAGTGTCTACCCAACTGGTAATACTGCCTCCTCTCTTGCCCATGGTAATGCACCCACCAAGCACAGCTAGAGTGATCTTCTGCATCATGCCAGTCCTGTTCCAGAGGCATCCCATCACCCCTAGAAGGCACCCCAACTCCTCTCTAAGGCCTGAGGCAGTACATGAGCCAGGGCTGCTCACACCACTTTCCCCACATGCTCTCCAATGGGCCTTCCCATTTCCCCAGCACTTCACATTCCTCTGGGCCTTTGCATTTGCTTGCCCCTCAGATTACTATGCTCTTGGCAAGACCTTTGCACACTGGCACAGTTAAATGCCAACTTCTCCAAGAGAACTTCACCCCGTCTAAAGTTCTCCCTTGCCTCACACCTTACCGAGTCACTCCATCCCATATCCCTGTTCTATTTCTGTTTTCCATTTCTTACTCATTTATTTTTGCCTGTTTATTATCTGTTTTCCTCTTCCTGCTCATTTTCCACCTGACAGTTAGCCTCATTCACCTTTTCATTATTTGCTAATATTTCCAGTACATGAAACAATTCTTGCACATAGCAAGTGATCAATAATTGCCTACTGAATTAATAAACGGATGGCAGCAGATTGTTTTAACTGGCAAATAGGTCTTGTTGTCCATTCTATGGCTTACCCAGAATTTTCTGGGTTTGTTAGTAAGTAGGGATCTATTTAGCATTTCATAATATAATGTGTATGTTACATTTAAAGATTTTCTGACATCCTATTTTCTCCTTGGCCACATTAATTCAGAACACTGATTGCCAACCCAAAGGTAGAGGGTTTAATTGATGGGCCAAGAAGTATTTTAAAATTCTCCTCAACATAAAATTAAATTATTTTTCAATTTAAAATATTATTACACCCCTCGTGGTGTAGGCAGATAGTATCACCATCTATTACCACCATTAACTCCACTGCTACTTCTCCACCACAAGGAGGTGGGTTGTCAGAGTTCCAGAAAGATTGACAATCACCCGCCCGGGTGGTAAGTAAGATTAGAAATTAGAGACATGCAAACAATTATCCAAGGGATTAACTTTTCTTTTAATTACAACAGTGTGTTATGTGTGTTTTCTGTTCTTGCTCAAATGTCAGCATCATTGGAATGAATCCATTGCTATGCCATTTCTTATCTCAGTATTTTTGAACTTGTTGAATAGGGCTGCATGGCCAGACCATAGTTTGTTGTATTCTCCTAAAAAATCAATTAATTTCTAAATCTCTCCCCTGAGTTAGAAAAGAACACAATAAAAAATAATGGCCTCTCTCCCAAGAATAATGATTGTCTTTAGCTAAAAGAGATTGTGAGAAACCTAAAGTACTTCTGAGGACAGAAATACTGAAGGCATTTAGTACTATATTCTAGTCTCACACCTAAGTCTGATTATTACTTCAGGGCTTCACATCAATAGAAATTAAGATAAAGGGCATATGCAGGTAATTCATACAAAAGATAAATGAATTCTAAATATCTGATTAGTTGTATATTCTATGTCTTTAATAATCTGAGTTATGCAAGTATATTGGAAAATATTGCACGTATTTTAAAAGGTAGATAACAATGGTAATGATACACATTGCAAATGTTATAGAAATAGATATTCTCATCACTGACTATTGGGATAATTTATTATTTTAACCTTTTTTAGAGTAATCTGTTAATCGTTAGCCAAGCACATTTGGAAAGGGCAGACCTGCTGACCTAGCAGCTCTCCCTCTAGGAACTGGTTATAAGCAAATACTATGAGGTGTGTGCAAGAAGGTGGAGTTAACCAACATAAAAGATAACTTTTCAGCCAGTAAAATAGTAGTTGAAGAAGAAAGCTTACCACACAGGAAGCATTCACTGGCTCTTTTAAAATGGAAAACCAGGCTATGACACCAAGTATGAAGGCTTGATTTTACTTTTATGGCAAAATAATTGGATGGTGAAAAACAAAATCGTAACTACTTGTTTTAAGGGGTAGCATTATAGTTGGTTTTTATTGTTTTCATGTGTGCTTTTCTGTATTTCTGAATTTTCTGCCTTAACCATATAAGTATTTTGTAAATGGAACTAAATAGCAAAAATCTCAGCAAAGAAGCTTTCAAAAACAATGGGGTAAGGAGAAAACAATCTTCTGCATTGTTTTCTAGATTTCAGCAATTAATATACCACTTCATCATTATTGTCATTTCCAAGTACTACCTGTATGATTACTTATTTAATATTTCTAATTAAACCAACACCGAAGTCACTTTTTAAACCTATCTTTCTCTCTAGAAGTAATGAATAAAGTTTTGAAGTATTAGTTTAAAAAGCAGCCAATATGCATTAAAGTGACATATAACCAATGAAACAGAAGCTCTTCATTAGTCTGCCCTCATGTATTATCCACACACCAGTGGTGTGGGAGGCATGGCGGGGGTGACTAGTGCCCTGACGTGCTGAGTCCCTGATGCCATCCCTGAAAGTAGCCCCTGAGCAACACTGGTTGGGCTCAGTTTGGGTCTTTTTCTCCTTGAAGCACATTTACCTGGTCCTGTGATCAGATCATGGTTTGATTCCCAAGTAGGACACAGGCCTGCTGAGCTGGATGAGTTATTCTTCATTGCTTCATTCTCAACCATGTGCACATTTTCTCTTGAAAAACATTGCTGATGTGTGTTTTAAAAGAAGACAAGTCTACATAAACTCTTCTTAGGGAAGCAACCCAGCTCATTTCCAGGACGGGGCGGGGTGTGTGTGTGTGTGTGTGTGTGTGTGTGTGTGTGTGTGTGTGTGTTTATGTTTCTTCATGTTTGGAAGCTGAGCTGTGAGAATGGCATTTCTGGTTGTCCTGTTATTGATCTCACCTGTAGCGCCTCGAAACCTCAGCTGTATGACTCTGACCTTCTGCTCAGCCAGCATTTGTGCCTACGGGGCCACAGGGATAACATGCTTGTTCCAACTAATGGGAGATGACAGCATTCTCTTCATTTATGTTCATGGAATGTCTAGAGATTTTTCACCTAATCCGCAAGACTTCGCTAGAGACACATGGATTATAATTTTCCACTCTACAAACACCTTCGCATTTTCAAAATTTAATTCTCTATCATTATTGATCTACTGATTTTCTTGACATTTTATTTCCCTTTTCCCACACCGTCATCAGTGTGGCCTTTGAGGATGTGGTTATCTTATTACAGTGTGATTTTCCTTTGACTTGATTAGCACTTGGCAGATTTTAGATGTTGAAAAGAAACCTCATATTAGCAGGCGTTCAACTGTGACCCAGATTACTGGGTGTATCCATGCCTCATTATAGAGTCTGTAATCCAAAAATGTCCAGGAGATCTATCTGTTGGCTGAGATTTTTGCTTCTTGGACTGACCTCTATTTCTTAATCACTTTCCTTAGCCCTCTAAACACAATACAGTTCTTTGCATATAATGGTTTTTTAATTAATATATTACAGAAAAATGGGTTAAAATTTGAGGGGGCCGAAACTGGTTTGGCTCAGTGAATAGAGCGTTGGCTTG